AAATACTTATATTGGCCCTGAAAAAGGCCAGTGGTGAAATTTCCAGTTATTCCTTATTATTATTCTTGATGATGGAGAGCCAGCTGTGGGTTGCTTGACTCTTGCCCTCAGAGTCTCTGTGTACGGAGACCGCACATGAGGAAGATACGCCACTGACCAAAGAATATCTCATCTTCGGGTCGTTCCCAGGATAACTAACCGCTTATCAGGATAACCTGGAGGATCAGGGTGAAAGTAGATCTAGGTCACTTGCCCATTAGAAAAGATTGTCATCGGTAACTGGGTTACCTAGCTGCACGACTAGAATCTTCATTCTTGATGCAGCTTGATGAACTGCCGGTAGACGACTGCAGGAATTTCCGAGACACTCTGGCTTATTATAACCAAAATTATTTAATTCTGTCGCAGGTAGCTTCGATATTATGTCAACGCTACCGAGCGGATCCTACTGAACTAAAGTGAAAAGCTGTCATATTTTTGCAAAACTTTGAGCTTATTTATTGCTATTGTTATTGAATTTTTCAAGATTAGAATCACACTAAAAAAATCTAGGAAAAGTCAAGAATCGGTATGCAAAATTTCAGCACAATCGGTTCAGTAAATTTCGCGGTTAGCGATTACAACGGTCTTGGAATCTTTGCTCTATATATTAGTAAGACTAGCAGCCCCCCGTCTCGGCTTCGGCCAAGACTTACTAAATAAAACACCGTAGTTCGTTGACATGTAATGTCAAACGTTTTCAGTTAAAAACTTTACACATATTCCTGACACATCTCAGAACAAAAACCTTCTTATTACGAACATATTTTTTCGGAATCCATACAGTTTGTTTAGTCAAATAATGTGTAAGAATTCAAAAAATGATTATGCTGAAAAGTACCGTGCGTTCTTTATGCCATAAAATAATCGGTGGCCATAAGGAACCGTTTACTTGTAGTTTTTCCCGTGTAATTCATGAAAAGGGCTATTTTTTAAAGCTGTTAAGATTTTAAACGCCCAAAAAATTTATATTTAAATAAATTTTTTTTTCTCTTATCTCACAACTTTATTACCAGAGCAACAAAGTGCTGGACCTTAAACCCTACATTTTTATTGCCACAAAAACACAAATACATTTTCTACTCATTAAAAAATCTGAAGTAGGATCTTTAAAGATTTCAGAGATTGCTGTGAGGGTACAATGAAAAGCTGATCTCTCACGTAATGGACTCTTTAGTTGTCGATTTTGACGCTGCTGTTTCAATCTCGATAAATTTTCTGCGTCAGTTTCTTGACGCCTAAGTAAAATTGTATTTATTAGATACACTTGAAGTTTTTCTTCCAATTCACCCTCTTGCGACTTTTGGCATGCTTAAAATTTTTGTGACCCCTAAAGGCTGTTTTCTGTCAACTTTGTTAAGTTCTAATATATTTGTTGGCAAGGTAGTTCGACGTCCGATGGCCCTAAAAAAGACCGGTGAGCTTCTTAAGTTAACTCTTTCTTGACTGCAGTTAACAGCAATTGTGACTGCCTGGATACCTCAGGGTGATCTTCTCTGGCTTGCTGTTGAAGACCCAGACTGATTGGGAGAAAAATTACAAAGTCCGAAGCTTTGGGGCTAGTTGTAGTGCTCTTTCCCAACGTCTCCCGGTATAACGTCGAAGACGTTGGTGTCTAAAGCACCTTTTTTATTTGCAGATTCAGTTGTTTTGGTGATCTTAGATGGGGAGATTGGTTAGTGATACTTGTCCAGTGGAGGCTATATATCCCGTTGGCTGAAGTTTTTTTTCCTTCACAGCTGTTATAGATTTGCCCAGCGCAGACCTTGGAGAGGATCAGTGATTCCCGGTTGAGTGCTTAGAGTCGAGAGGGTTATATAGGGTCGTCGGTAACCGGGTTTCCCAGCCTTGCGAAGAACAGCTCCGGTCGTGACGGCTGCCAGTGAATGGCTGAATTGGTTTAATAGTGGCCGTCTTTAGTTAATATAGTCTTTTAGTCGACGAACCGCTTCCAGAAATGGTAGTAAAAATGTATTTGTTGGCAAGGTAGTTTACGCTTAGGTGGCCCCTAAAAAGAACCGATGAGATTGATGGTTAAGTAGGGAACGTAAATACTTATAATGGCCCTAAAAAGCGCCAGTGGTGAAATTTCCAGCTATTCTTTATTATTATTCCTGAAGATGAAGAGCTGGCTACGGGTAGATTAATTTTTACCCTGGGAGTCTCTATGTACGAAGACTGTGATGGAGGGAGGTACACCGCTGACCAAAAAATACATTGCCTTCGGGTGGTTCCCTGGATAACCAATCGCTTATCGTTAGTCGGGAAAGTGTGGGTATGTCGGGGACATGACCACTGATAAGGAATCCGTTGTGGCTGCCCGTGCCCCTCAGGGCTGTCTTTCCTGGCTTACGTTTGTAGCCAAAAATTCTCTGAGTGCACCAGGTGGGATAGCGGGACTGCCACACAACTCTGCAGAGTTGGTGCAGATTGTGCTCTGGCTAGATATGTCTCTGGTATTATGCCAGAGACGTCATTAGTTAGAATGACTTTTTTTTTATTGCACTTGTCGAGATTCAGGGTGATTGGAGACCTAGGTCCCTTCCCCCTTAGAGAAAAGTGTCGTCCATAACCGGGATATTCAGCTGCAAGACTATCATCTACATTCTCTATGCAGGTCGTTGAACTGCCAAAGCACGACTGCATTAGTCATCGAGACGCTCCGGCGTACTATAACCACACTTATTTTATTTTGTTGCAGGTAGCCTCGATTTTATGTCGACGTTACCTAGCGGATTTTACTAAACTAAAGTGAAAAGCTGGCGTATTCTTGCAAAACTTTGAGCTCATTTATTGCTATTGTTAATAAATTTTTTAAGATAAAAACTATACTAAAACCATCTAGGAAGTATCATGAATCAGTGTGCAAAATTTCAGCAAAATCGGTTTAGTAGTTTTCGCGGTTAGCGATTACAACGGTTTTAACGACTTTGCTTTATATATTAGTAAGATATATCAAGTTTATGAAATCTGCCTTTTTACAACATACAAAACGCTATAAGAAGTTAATGAAAGGTTATAAAAGTTCATAAAAGTTTGTAAAAGCTTATAAAAGTTTTAACGTATGTCATAGAAACTTTTGACAAACATTAAAAAACTTTAAACAAGTTTATAAATGCGTATAAAAGCTTGTTAAAGTAAATAAAAGATAATAAAAACTTATAAAAGTTAGTAAAAGTTTATAAAAGTTTTGAAGTCTCACATAGCTACTTTTGACGAACATGAAAAAAGCAATAAAAAATTTCTATAAGTTAAAATGGAGTCTCAAATCAGTCTTTTTATAAAAGTTTATGAGAGTTTTTAGAAAATATTATTTCCGCTTCGGTAAAACAAATCAAAATGTACAAGAGATTAATGCACTCACATATTTTCGTAGACTCTTCGATGCATACAATCTGAGAAATTTTGTTGAATAGAGTCAAGTCGTACTGGTCGTGTGATAGTTATAAGCAATTAAATATTAATATCCAACAAGTTCAGTATATATAAGTTATGTAAGTGAAAAATTTTGTAACAGACATGACTCCACAGGTATCGGAAAATTTGTTGCAGAGCGGAAAATAATCGATGGTAAGAGATTTGCTTTGATGTACCGACGCCAGACTACCGTCGCATAAATTTCCGCAGCGTGTATACGCTACCTAACAGCAAAGAATAGCTGAAAAATTGCACTTCGGGCGCTAATGTTGGTACTTTATACCCTAGTGACGTAACGTACAATTTCTATGCTACATTATAGGAACGCTCTAGTCCTTGACCTCCAAAAAACATATACGACGACAAATCCCTTACAAATTTAACAACATTCAGCGGATTACTTTTTAAGAAAAGTTTCATTTGTTTTGATAATCTTCATAGTACTCTTTTATAATTTGGAGAGAGAAATTTTCTCTTTTATTTTGCAATGAAATACAATACGATTTGGGTTAAAAATTTCTTATTATAGTAACTTAGAAGGTTTTCTAGTTATTTCACGTAAAATAAGCTATTAGGAAATTTACTGATAATAAATCAATGAAGCTGAGTAGTCAGTAAAGCAGAGAATCTCGGAGATATATTGAATACTTGTGAGGGCAGCCCGGAGATAAATAAAGTTTACTACCTTATCGATGAAGTAGATTTTATTTTATAGCTTCATAACATTATTTAATTAATAACTAACTATTTAATAAAAACAAAAGGAGTTAGCGCATGTTTGTGACATTCCTAAGAGTTATGTAAGACAAGATTTGATGAGATTAATTAAGAATGAAAGAAGAAAAACGAGAAAATAGATATTAAACGAACGACGCATGATCTGATTTGTCGTACTTTAATTCCGAATAAAAATTCATCTCATCAAAGTTAGGCTTCATATATTTTTCAGAGAATAAAGAATATTAGAAAGCTCTTTTTTGTCGATAAATTGCATTCAAACACGTTTATTATAAAAATAGCACCACTTTATGCAGATACCTTCGACTCCTATAACAGTATTAGTTGCTGCAAGAGGAGGTTTGATCCAAAATTATGTTGGAATAAAAAATAGTGACAATAATTAAATTATTCCGTCTGTTGCTGGAGAGGAGTTAAACCTAACAATGTAGTAATAAATAAGTGTGTAGTAAGGTATCGTGGAAAAGCAAAGCTGAAAGTCGAAAGTAAAATGAGCGTTAATGCAAAAATTTTATGACAATCAGAATTCGTTTCTGCATAAATTTAATAATTATGACTATTTTATTTTTATACATTTTCCACAATATAAAGGCTTGATCATTTTTATAGATTTATGTAGATCTACAAAGCTGTAGTACTGCGTGTTTTGTTTTTATTCAAAAAAGGATTTTCTAAGCCTAGAAAGTGTTTGAGTGATGTAGACAGACCTTTTTTTGCACTTAAAACTTAACTTAGTAATAACAACAATAATAACCGCAATAATGTGACTAGTACATAATCATACATATTGTGAAACATAACGTTACCGAAAGGAAGACTGTGGCTGTGGTAGCACCAACTTGACTAATGGCGCTGCAAACGTAATGACCTTCATCTTTAAGTGTAACCAGCTTGATGTGTAAACTACCATTATCAGCAACAGTATAGCGATCCTGGTACACATGGCCAGGAAACATTAACTCTTGCGAGCCTTCACGTGTCCAAAATATTGAGGGCTGTGGCATACCTCGCGCTGAGCAGGCAAACGTTACTTCTGAGTTAGGGCTTACTGATTCGTCTTTAGGGAAGTTGGTAAAGACAGGCCGCGCTGCCGATAAAATAGAGAAAAGAACCTCGTAAATAAACAAAGGGTATGAGTGAATGACAAATGAAAGTATGATTAAATGGACAGAGGACAAAAATGCACGTTTCTTTAATGAGTGCTTGGCTATTGAATAATTAAAAGCATATGACTTACAGTAAACGGTGAGCGTAGCGCTAGCAGAAATTGTTCCAACGCCATTCTCCGCCTCACAAATGTAAGTTCCCTGGTCTGAAGTTGTAACCCGCTCTATTTTGAGGCTCTTGTCATCAAGTATATGGCCACGGCCAATTGGCATTTTACCATCATGCCTACGCCACAGTATATCAGGCGGTGGATCACCTCCAACTCGGCAGGAAAATTCAGCTGTCTGATCCATTAGGATCGTTTGATTTGATGGCGCTTTCAAAAAATATGGTTTCACTAAAAATAAGTTGTTATTTTATATTTTCATTTTATCATCCAGTTATTTCAAACTTTTTCAGACTGTTCATTACCATTTACTGTAAGAATTGCAATAGCTGACTCTCGGATTCCTACGACATTCGTGGCGACGCACTGATATTTGCCTTGGTCAGATTGCTTGACATCGCTTATCATCAAATTACCACCATCAACTAGCGACATTCTGTAATTAACATCAGCATTAAGTAATTGCTATGATAAGTAATGAATTTTGTAGTTGAATGTTCAACAAAATTTTTTGATTGAACGCATAAAAGTAGTAAATAAAAGAATAGTACGCAAAGTTTACTAGACTACAGTATTGATTAAATACTTGATTCGTACGAACTTAAAATTCTAAATGTTTGCATATATGTGAGTCTTAAGTCATTGTAAATACCTTCTAGTTGTAATAAAATTTTTAATTTTTCCACCTAAGATCCCCAATGGTGAAGCAGTAAAAATTCAATACTTCCCGAAGACCCTCAGTTATGTTTTCGAGTATATAAAGCAAATACATTGTGCATGATTATAACTGAGCCCATAACTACTTGTTATGTTAAACATTATTAAATGTTTTACATTTTTTGAATTATTTGGATGTATGCATACAGATATAATAGAAACCAATAAATGATCGATCAACAAAGATTTTTGATCAGTTGTGTAAAAATTTGGCAAAAATAGAATAAAATTAATCCAATTAAAAAAAAATTGATAAAAAACCATTTTTCTTTCGTCATTTTCAATAAATAATGTTATATTAACATCTCATTAGAAGTTCACGTTTTTTTTAAACACTAAAGTTTTAACATTAGTAACCTGAGTAAGCAAGACTTATTATAGAATAAATTTGGAAGTTAATTTCGTTGCTCTATTAATTAAAAATTTATGTATTTCAGAAGGATTATGTTATACCACAAAAACTTAAAATAACAAACTTATTTTAGTATAATATTAAAGCTGAAATAATAATTAATAAGAAAATTGTAAATTAAGTTTTTATTTTCAGAATAATGTTAAATACACGATCTTCATCATCTTTATCTTTTATACTATACAGAAAACAATATTTTTTATAGTTAGCTTTTTCTTTGACTGTCTTTAAGTCACAAATTCAAAGATTTGATATATTAGGTTTAAATTTGAAAAAATCTTTTTTTTCTCATGGAAATATATATGTTGCTTCATCTAGATGTAAAAATCTTTAATTCATATTAGAAATAAACTAAAAAATTTGTTAGAAATAGAAAATATAGTTTAAGATAAAATGTTTAATTAATAAAAATAAATTGTGACATATGTTACTAAATTTATTTAAATTTATGACAGAATCATACAGAGTATAAGATTTAATATAATGATTGGGTATTTCAATGATTCTCTAACTGCTTTAATAAAATATACTACTCTTCTTTCAAGTTTTGTTCTTAACAAAAGATACGTTGATTCTCGATACAACTACCTTACCAACACACATCAGATGCATAGCAAGCCTTCCTCCAAGTTTTGCATTCTAAGTAAGCTAAATGACTTGTTCCAACTCATATAACTTATTTACATTATATTATTTGACGCCTATAAAAATAATTAGTCTGTTAATATGTCAACATTAATAATATTTGCATGAATCCATCGAATAGTTTAGTTGTAAATACTATGTATCATGTACAAAAGATCATCTAAAAGATCATGAACGATTATTTTTTTAATTCATACAAAACAAAAGAAAGGGTGCAACCACATTTAACAATTTAAAAGTATTTAGAGTAACAACATGTGAGTACAAAAAATTAAAAGATATTGCAACAGCTAATTAGGAAATTTTTTCTTATGGTTTTCAATTTCTGAAAATATTCAAGGCGATAAAATTTAGAATAAAGATAGGAAATTTTTCTCACAAGATTTTACTGATGATAATGAAAAGCATCCACTATCACATGTTAGTCAAGCTCTAGAATTAGAAGATGAATACTGTGATTTATTTAATGTGCTTACACTAGAAAAAATACATCTACAGTAAAATGATATCGAGAAAATTGATTAATACGTAAATATTTATGTGTAATATAAGAAATTTCCTGGTTCTAAGTACTTACATGTGAAGTGAATATAAAGGGAAAACAACTAGAAATGATTAAGGGAGTTGATCACTGTTATCTCGTCTTAACAGATCTAGTCAATCCAGAAAGGTGATGGAGTAATCCAGCCTAATTGAGACATAGTTACCACAATGAGCTTTGATTGTTTATGAAGATTAATTGATACTTACTGATAACAGTAAGCAATGCTCAAATTGAATAACGCATTTGCATGAAATGCTGCAATATATGCAACGAATAGACTGCAAACAGAGATTTGATTAAAAAGAGAGGCCCCTTAACCTTCCAAGCAAGGAAACCCAAATTGGAGAGCTGAGTTCTGCGTGTAGCTGCAGCAGAAGACTTCAGTTTTAGGGTAGCATACGATTCTTCGCTTTCCTTATTCAAAAAATTGATGTGATAGAGAGAGAGAGAGATAGAGAGAGAGAGAGAGAGAGAGAGAGAGAGAGAGAGAGAGAGAGATGATGATGATGATGATGAAACGAATTTATTAATGCCAAGGTTTGATAAACCGTATGGCAACTAAAAATACATAGTAATTACAATTTGATACATAATAATATATAAGTACATTCAAAAAGCATTCGGTAAACGGCACGTGGTAACTGTACAAATAATTTAGTTTGCAATTTACTAACAGAATTAGTGAGTTAAAATACCACTAAACTACAAAACGCAAAGTAGAATTTTGATAATTTTAGCAGAGTGCGTAACATAGTATTAATAATTACAATATAAATAATAACAGTAATCGTAGTAAGCAGAGTTTCATTTAAAAATATGGAAAATAGGTAATGTAAAGTAGATGTAGAAGACACCTAGGTGAGAACACAGTACGACTACCCAAACCGCGGGGCTCAATACAAAGCACGATAATACAGTGGCGTCAGTTAGCTTCCAACAAGTAATTAAAAAGCGCTCTTTTAAAAGATTGGATAGTGCTCACTGATCTCACCCCTGCGGGAATCTCTTCTTATAGTCTTAACGCACTCAGGACAAAAGAGCGCTCGTACGTAACTGTGCGCAAGAAAGGGATAAAAAAACCGGCGGATTCGTGCCTAGCGGATCTCCTCAGGCCATCGGTCTGCAGAAAAAGCTCTGCCAAATAACTAGGTCACCCGAAGGCAAGCAGCTGACAAGTCATACATCCCAAAAAAATACCTTCGACGAGCACTAATGGTGAGCCAATCTAGTCGCCTGTAAAAAGGCCTCATCTTGGCATCGCAACCAACCCCAAAAATAAACCTCACGACGGTATTGAACAGTCGATGTAACTTGACTTGGAGATATTTCAAGAAGTCCAGATACACCAGCGCTGCAAAGTCAAAGTGGGGCAGCACAAGTAAGTCCACTAGCTGCTTCCTGATCGACCAAGACAACGAACCCGTCCCATACCAGAGTCTATGCAAGATTCCGTGGACGATAGAAGAAACACGAGAGACATAGGCGTTTCAGGAAAGATCATCATCGAAGACGACGTCTAGATTTTTGACTGATGAGACGAAGGGCACCACATCACCGTGAACTATGATCGGCGACACACATGAGCGATTCATCGTCCTAAGCAACTGAGCTGACGCTAGCAACTGCACTTTAATCTTGGAGAAGTTAAACGGCAATCCGCAATCGAGTATCCAGATGTCAGTGGCACTAATATCGTCGTTAAACTTCGCAACTGTATTCACAATGTCTCCGGGCAGGCTTTTTATGTACATCTGGAAGTCATCAGCAAAGAGCATGGCCTCACTGTACCATAGCACAATCGAATTTATAAAAGCGAGGAAGAGTACAGGACCGGACGAAGATCCCTGGGGAATAACGAAAGTGGTATGATAACGCCCATACAAGCCGTCTTTTTTATGCACCACCGAAAAGGAGCGATTGGTCAAAAAAGAATGCAGAAAAAAAATTGCATCACCCAAAAAATTCATTTGCTTGAGCGATAGTAGTAGTCTCCAATGGTCCAAAGAGTTAAAGGCCTTGTGAAAATCAAAATGGACTGATAATGTAATCATACCCCTATCGATACCCTAGCGAATGTCATCGGTCACCCGCAAGAGAGCAGTCTGGGTGCTAAAGCCGCGCTGAAAGCCGGATTGAAAAGGCAACAAGAGTGTGGCGCTTTCTAGATAATTATACAATTGATCTGCTACAAGGTAATCAAAGACCCGCTAGAAGTGCGGCAAGTTTGCTATTGTCAGCGTATGTGAGGGGCATGAAGGGCTTTTAACCTTTGATAGTGGTACTATGCTAGAGTGCTTCCACATATCGGGATACGTATGATTGGCCAATGATGTGTTAAATGTATGGACAAGAAAGGGAGCGATAATCGCGAATACATCTTTAAAGTACTGCGACGGAAGACGATCATTGCTCATGCTTCTCGCTTTAGAGGCACAGTGCTGCGTTGCCCGATGTACCTTTACCCCCGTGACTGGGTGAAACAAAAAAAAGTAAAGTAAAGAAATGAAAAAAAAAGAAATTAAATGAAATAAAATGAAACAAAAAATGAAAACAAAAAATTAAATAAATGAATAAAATATAAAGGGAATTAAAACAACAAACCAGGGGGGATAAATGGGTCATGGGACCCACGGTAAGAACGAAGTTCTTTAAACATGACATAAGTATAAAAACACAATTTCTCAGGTAACAAGGGGGTCGCCAAACCTGGAGGAAGAACGAAGCTCTATAGACATTAGTACTGCATTCATGGGTTCACTAAACAAAAACTTGAAAAACGAAGAAAAAAAAAATAAAAAAATAGTTCAGTACTCACGATGGTTGAACTTCGTGCATAAATACAGTACTCACGAAGTTCAACCATCGTGAGTACTAAACTATTTTTTTTTATTATTTTTTTTTTTATTCGTTTTTCAAGTTTTTGTTTAGTGAACTACATGAATGCAGTACTAACGTTTATAGAGCTTCGTTCTTCTCTTCGTTCTTCTTGGGAGTGTGAGGGAGAATGATGGGCAAAAGTGGGCAGAAGAGTAACACGGCACGGTTGGCAGATATACATATATAGCTGGGGGAGGGGAAGTGTGTAGAGAATAGTAGGTGAGGGGAACGGGGTAAGGGG